AGAAACGGAAAAATCACAGAATTGGACCAAATAAACTACGGAAATCCTATAAGTGGGGAAAAATAAAGAGAAAATAAAGCGAAAATAAAGACACAAAAATGGGACAAACAGAAGCAGAAATCAAAATCTAACTTAGGAGAACGAAAAGCTCAAACCTAGGAGAACTTAAACTCTTAAGAGGAGAGAGATAAACTTAGATGAGATGACCAACACGTTGGTTGTTAGATACTTAGGCCTGATTGTATATAAGTTATTCTGGATGTGATTGGATCTGATAAAGTGAGTTAATTTTTTTTTTAAAAATGTTGATTGAGTTTGGTTTGAGTGAATTTTTTATTTGTGTTTAAATAATATTTAAAATATAACGATTAAAGTTGATTTGATATTAAAAGTATGAGAAGAATTATTAAAAGTGATAAGTAGTTCAAATTATGCTGGTGGATGAATAATTAATTAAAGTTGACGATGATTTATGACATTAATTGATTGATATATTATTCAATTATACTGATAATATTGAACATAATTGAGTTAGAAGATTGAAAAATTTATTTCATATCCTATTTTTTAGTATTTGTTGTTTTTTTTAGGATGAGGCAGGGAGAGCAGCAACTGAATTTTGGCGGTTATTTTTCCACCCCAAACACTTGTTATGCAATTTCAGAATTTCCTTATTTGTAAAAAAAATAAACCCTGATTTTTTAGTTGTTTTTGGTATGAAAAGGAAGGAAGAAAGAGATAAAAATAAAAATAAAAATCTAAAGTAGAAGCCTTGATCTGCAACTTCATAAATTTCAAAGGGTCATAAATGCAATTTCATTTTTCTTTTTCTTTTTTCCAATTTCATTTCCCAAAACAAGCCCAGATCTCTGTCATACCTGAGCTCTCATTGGCTGCACTATTCTCATCTCTCTCTCTCTCTCTCTCTCTCTCTCTCTCTCTCCACTACCATTATCTCTCCAGTCTTCATCTTCCACTTTGAGCTCAATCCTTGGAGCCCTTTCGCTGTCCAGCATAAAAAAGAAGCCATCTTTATCCCGCGAAAAAAACAAACAGAGCCACATAGAAGAAAAACTTTTACAGATCAAGAAAAAGGTGCACTCGTAGCTTCCAGATAACTCTCTGCCCTTTTGCTCTTTCTCTCTTAATTTCAGTGCTCTTACCATGTTTATGTGAAGCTCTACTCGCACATGCTTCATAATTTTGTTTCAAACAATTTTTTGAGAAAAAAAAAAAGAAAGAAATCAGAATTTTTTTT